AGAGGTAGTCAGAAAATCCAGCAGGTTGTCCTCCTCTGCAGTGTTGCTCTCCCGGAGTTCCATTCAGTGCCATTAGCCAAGTACCTCATTACCTTCTCCAGTTTCATGATTTTATTCTCAGAAAAACAAAAATGCAGGCCCATAACTCTTTGGTTGGCCCATGATAAAGGGCAAAAGCCTGAAAGACTAGCAGAGAGAGTCTTCTGGTGCCCTCAGGAGGCCAGCAGGAGTGGGTCCTGTAACTATCGCCCTTTGCAGAGCCAGTACGCCTCTTCTGTTCCCTCAAGAGGAACCTCCAAATGTCTTTTCTTACTCTTTCTCACCAGTCCTCTACCTGTCAGTACATCCTGTCCCTTCTTCTGATCCTAAAGTAGAAAGACCTACAATGTCAAGAGCAGTAGTTTTTCAATTGCCTTAGGTTGGTATCATTGAAACAGTAGATCTGATGCATCGTCTTTTTAGCGTTAACACTTTACAATTATGTATTTGATTCTATATTCTTTTTCTTGAATGTTACAGAGTCTATAATCTTATTATATTTGAAAACAGTGCCCTGAATTATACTTTACTACACTTAATGTCTTTCTATTTGAAAACTTTAACCTTGTTGTTTGGTAGTTTGAGTTCTTTAAGCTTGTTGAGAATGTTAAGCTTGTTGTTTAGTAGTTGCTATGGAATGAGGTCCTGAGTTTTAAGTCAGTTCTTTCTTTGTATTATGTGTCAGCTGTGACCCAGGACCTCAGTGCTAGTCCAGCATATATTCTGGTCCATGATTGTTGTGGAAAACCCAAGGCAGAGCTCGGTTTCCTGCCAACTCTTCTCCAGAAAGCTGTGATTATTAGAAATAGCAATGTTGATTTCTGGTACAAAAAGAAGCTTGTGATTTCCTCACTTCTATAAAATACTTTCTGAACCGAAGAACATTTGCACGTCTCCAAAGGCTCCCCTATTACAGTGTGAATGTCAGCTGCTCCTTCCCAAGTGAGACCGGGTGGTTTTTCCCATCATCTGTATATACAGCTGAGTTACTTTCTGGTTCCTTCCCTGGCCCTTTTCTCCTCTACAGTCCTAATCCATTCCAACTATCCTGTGGCCTCAAATTAGTAAGAAATTTTTCTTAACTTTTTCTATCATAATTATATCTCTCATTTTTTTTCTGATGGGAGTAGCGGTGATATTATCCCAGTGAACACATATGCACCCATGGAAATATCCTCTAAGGAGCGTCCTATTTCTGTCTGGTAAGCAATGAGGAGACACAGTGCTGACTTTTCTGCACCTTAGTTATCCAGTCATCCATTGACCCTTCAGGCCAAGCCAGAGCCCCTGTACAAGGAAGACTGGGAGAAGGTACTGGGTCAGTTTGCCGGTAGAAGTTGGAAGGTGTGTGCTGAACACCATGAAAGTGGAAGTAGCCATGTAGGGTGGGTGTTTTGTGTGCCAGCCAACACCATTCAGAGAAATCTGTTCAGGTTCCAGGGCCATTACTTTTTACCTTTTCTCAAGATCAACCAACATCCTCAAGGGCACTGTTTTTCAAACTATAAGTCTTGACCCATTAGTGGTCCATGAAATCAATTTAACAGCTCAAGCCCTGAATATTTCAAAAGTGGAATAGAAGAGAGCTATGCATGGAGCAAGATCAAACATTGTTAAATACTCTATATACTGTGTATACTAGGTCACAATATAAAATGTTATTTCCTATTGTGAATTGCAGTTTAAAGAAACACAAAACTAAAACAAAAATGAAAACCTTGAGGCCATTGCAAGTGGAAGTGCAGGCTGGCCAGTGATTGTTGAAACATTCGGACTGTGTGGAGCCTGACCTCAAATAGGCTCAAAGAGCCACCACTCAGGGAGTCTGCAGATTGGGAGCGCTCTTGATCTCTAGAGTGAGAAGATGGGATAGCTCTTGTTTTGGTTTATAAAATGTTTTCCTTTCATGGTGTGTAAAACCAGGCATCAGTGGGACCAGAAAAAGAATAGAAAAGTTCGATCCACAAACAGTGCCCCAAAAGGCCACAGGATATTAACTTGATGCATTTCAGCCTGCCTCCTACTAAGCATTTTACTAGGAGTGGAGACAGAGGTTCTCCTTTGAATTTGCTTCATCTACCTTCTCTCGGATTCATCATACAGGTAGCAAAGGCCCTTAAAAATAGGGAGCTAGTATACACAGGTTACATTCTTCCGGGGCCAAACTGCTCATTCATTGGAGGGTGCTATAAAAATGCCAATGCAATTTAGCTGAAAATAATTAGATTTCCTCATTTCTGTGGGATTCAAGTAGGAAATGTAGATAACCTGCATTCCTTATGCAGTATTCAATACACAATTTATTCATCCTGATTTTCTTCGGTGCTACCCTGTTTATCACTTAAAGCTCCTTTCCATATTCTTAAGGGAAGCATTTACCCTCTGGGCCACACCTTTGAAATGATGCCTTGCTGCTAATGCTAACCTAATCAAGTGGGCATTAATCTGTTAAATTTCTTATGATTCTTGTTATCTACATTTTTGATAATTGGCTGTTAGTGCAGCTATTAGTGCAGACTTTCCCCCCGTACTTTTCTGCCACAATTGGTATAAAGTAGTACTTGTTTCAGGGCTCTCCTTCAAGCAGCTCAGCACACGTACTGAGAAGATACTGGGTCTTATGTGATTTGTTACTTGCCCTTGAGTTGGCTCTGACTCCTGGCGACTCTGAATGAGTGATGTCCACAGTGTCCTGTCCTCGGCAGCCCTGCTCAGCTCCTGTAGTCTCCTGCCTATGGCTTCTTTAATGCAGTCAATACACCTACTTGTTCTTCCTCTTTTCCTGCTGCCTTCTGTTTTCCCCAACATCATTGTTTTTTCCAAAGAATCCTGCCTTCTCATAATGTGCCCAAAGTAGGACAGTCCTACGCTATTACAAACCTCCTTCATGTTTCTTTACTTGAAACAATTTTTACTTTATTGCCTCCTTTGTAAAATAAATTGTTCTATATTGTTTTTTTAAAGTTTTACTTTAGAATTACAGATTCGTTCTTTTTTAAAAAGCATTATGACATTTTCCAAAAAAAGATAATTTTGGTTACCTGAAGAGCTATATGAGAGGTGTAACTTCAAATTTTATCGATTGATAGGAGTGTGTTTAAATTCTTTTTACTTTATACAAATACAAATTTTATTATAGTTTAACACCTGCTATGATAGACTTCTGTCAACCTGTCACTGAGCACCATTCATTTAGTATTGCTCTGCTCCCTTAATAATGTGTTTCTCCTAAGGGTGTTCCTTGCAACAAGAAACCCTGTGTGAGTGATATAATAAAAAGTCTAATAATCATAACTGTACTTAAAGTAGAATATGTTGGAAAACCTCAACATTTCTTAATATGCTATCATACCACCAGCATCCCATTGGCTACCCCAAGGTTACCAATTTGGGGACTGAAAAACATCCAAGTGAAAATGTAGATGACATTGAAATGGCAATAATTTCATATCCATACTCACAAACTATCAGAAATTGTATCTGGGGCTTGTTGCAAGGTCAGATAGATTGTCACAGACTTTTTTAAATAGTCATATCTGGATGTAAATATGTAAATTACATATAAAAATGAATTTTTCAGGGAATGTGCACTTTAAAACTGATTAATTTTTGTATTAATCAAATAGTGCTTCTTTGGAATGCTTATTCTTTGGTAAAATACAGTCATTGATGATGATAATTTATTTATTAAATGGCTCTTTCTGTATCTGCAGTATTTCCTTCACTCTTGTGTTCCTTATCCCTTTTATGTGGGCTCCTGGCCCGATTGCCTGTTACACAGTCTCTGCTTTTGTGCATTCTGATAAGATAGTTTATAAACACAAATGTTTACAATGAAGTTCTTCCTTTTGAAATTGATGTATTTTTCCCCCCTTTGGTTGGTTATGCTCACTAATGACTAATTTTTCTAAACAATAATTATTTCTTGCTATTGGTAGGATTAAATTACTTGGTCAGGTGATTGCCCGGTTTAATTATGTATATCATTTTTAAATAAATTAAGTCAAATAAAGATTTCTGGTTTTTCAGTCCTCCTCTGTTTTTCCTTAATTGGATCGAACTAGAAATATTACCAATAATCTTTTCCTTGCCTACCTAAACCCTACCCTTTTTGGGGCCTAAATAAGTGTGGACATCTAACAGATTGCCAAGGTCCTGATTTTTCCGTCAAAGCCAGCGACAGTATCCAGCCCAGCATGATTGTTGCTGGCTAAAAGCTTGAGAGCATCAAGACTGTGCCTCTCAACCTCAGAAAACTTCAGATGGCTCATTTCCTCAGTAAGTAATGAGTATCTTCTGAAAGAAGGGCTAGGAGGGTATTTTCTTCCTGCAGAATTAACATTGACAGAAATAGTTAATTCACCTTTGATAGGGAGAGTTCAGCCTTTTCCTTAAGAAGATTCTTCACTACCTTTGGTTACGATTTATTTGACAGCCCTCTGCAATTACAAGTGATCAAAAGCCATCATCTTCTCGCATGCTTTGTCAGCCAAAGGTAAGTTAAAAATAACAATAACTTGATGCTAGAAAGTGCCTTAAATTTTTTGAATTCCCCTCATTACTGATTCTTTTGAGCCCTTTTCCTGTTAGTTGGGCGATCAGAAGCAGTTCATGATGTTTAGTGCATGGTGCCCACCCCCCTCCCTGTACCCAGCGTTGTCTTCTTTTTTCTGTTTCTAGATATCCTTAAGAGCTATTTTCCAATCTTTGTTCTCTCATGCAAATTTTCCTGGTTATTTCTGGGCCTTTACTATTCCAGATAAAACTTTGACATCAGTTTCTCAGGTTTCACAAAAACTTGCATTTGCATTCATTTCTTGAAGTTTATAAAGCTTAATGTTGCAACAGTAGGATCACTTGCTATCAGCATAATTCCTTTCTCTCCCAACATTGATGCTCTTGCCTTTAATAGCCTCTCACTTGGAAGAGATCCAGCAGAATGAGAACCCGGCTGCCTTAACTGCTGATAGAAGACTTAGTACCGTTCCGGGAACACCAACACACTGTTCCACAGCACACCTCACTAATCTGGGTATGTCCTGTAGACTGATTGGAGATAGTACGTGTGATACCCTAAACCCCACCTGATGTTCTTGTGTGTATGTGTGTGCACGCACGCACACACACACACACACCTTCAAGTAAAAAGCAGAAATATCTTGGGCCTTTGGTGTGAAGTACTTTGCACTTTCCAGGCGACTCTGCTTCTTCTTTTCTGAGCCAGCTAGTCAGGGAATTCTGACATTAACATGATGAATGAATGCAGGCTTGCCCTGAAAAGGAGCAGAATACACCACCTCAAAATATGCCTCTTTGGCCTAAGGATTTTTTGAGCTGATTATTTTTAAGAAACTGTAAACACAGCTCTGAAAACCTAGTAGAAGTTATCCTTTTGTAAGAGAAATTTACATTTAAAAGAGAAATCTCATTTGTAAAGGTGTCTCCCTCTGTACCTGGAGGAGGATGACTCTAAATCAAAAAACTCTTACCAGTGGAGAAGGCTCCAACTTAAATCCGCGTAACAACCTCACCCTTGTTTACTGTGCTTTTCCCAGTAACCTCCCTTAACTGGTCTCCCCCCTGTCCCCACAGCCCCCACCACCCCTCGGCCAACATCTTTCTTGTGTCTTTAGCTGAAGAATGTAAGGAGATGGCTTGGGCCATTTTCGGGGAGTTACTCAATTTTCCCAGGTATCTCTCATGTATAAAGGAGTTATAGGTAGATCAACCTATATATAGCACAGGGGTACATTATTAAACTTCTGTTTTTCTCCTGTTAATCTTTTATTAGGCAGGGATGGGGTCTCAGTCAAGACCTAAAAGGGTAGGGGGGGAATCATTTTTCCTCACATACAGTTTGGCAACTCATGAGGGGACCCGCTGAGACGCCACTCTTGCTCTGGAGCCTGCAGACAGGACCCTGGAACCCTTGCAGAAGCAGCCCAGGATAAGAAGCCTGCTCTCCCGAATCTCTGTACTGCCCCATGGAGAGAGGACAGGAAAAATCATCTGCCCGTTCCTTCCCATCATTTAGGTAAGCAGGAAACAATATTTGTATGAACTAGTCCCTTGGGCATAGATGTTGGTAAAGATTTTATTATACGCTCGTTTTCTATTGATCCCTCCCCTCCCAGAGATGTCTTCTCTTATCTCTGTCTTTTGTGTTGTTTGTCATAAGGAGGAAAACCATAGGCCAGATGAGGTTTTCCTCCTGTCTTAATCTATGTCTTAAGAACTTGGCCTTTTGACCAGTTCAAAAATACTCTGTGGTCTCCACCAGCTGGAAGATGCCAGTATGGGCTTGTCTCTAGCAGCCAACCGAATAGGCTGGGAATCAGACACACAACATGGTAAGCAGCATCCTCTTGGTCCCACAGTGCCAGCTCTCAGGAGAGTTTACAACATCTTATGGGGTCCCGGTCCACAATGGGCCTTTTTGTCTCTGGGAGTGAACTTTTGGATCTTGTGAGGGCTGCATCTTTTGCAACCTCTTTAGGAATGCCTCTTGTGTCCATGGTTAAGTCATAAAAAGGCTTATTGGTTTGAGTTGCTATTGAAATTAATATACCATCAAAGATCCTATTTATCAATGGCTAGGCAATGGACCCTTTAAATTGAAGAAACTTCTATAGTTAAAATTTTAATGTTTTAGAGAGCTTGCTTTCTAAACATTTGTACCTATGGAATGAACAAGTTGAAAATAGGACATGAATGGATATGGCATCCAACTTTAGGGACTTTCATAACAAGATGAAATTACACTTTCAGAAGATCCTACAATATTTAGAATAGAGAGAGATCAGTGGCCATTCACAAGCCCACTCACAGGAGCCTTGATGGGCTGCTCAGGGGTGTTCATCCCACCCATGATTATACTGTAGGTAGCAGACAAGCCAGGCAGCTCCTAGGGAAACGCCCTCACAGAGGAAACAGAGGACCGGAATGTCTCCCAGACCCTCCTACAAATCATCAGGAAATGGATCAGCTGGAAGGCAATGTTCACATCTTCTTTAGGACCTGAGAGCCAACTCTTTGAAATACAAATTTCCTTTTCATCTGAAGAAAAAAAACTAGAAAATTTCAGGAGTAATCTAAATATGATTTTTAAGACCAAGTGAATTAAATAGATGTAAGTGCAATGAACTTTAAATAATTAGAAAGTTTCAAAACACATGTCTACTTAAAAATAGCTTCCAAATCTGTTTGGTAACTTGAACCCTTAAAATTTTGCTAAGTTAAATGATGGAAATTCATTCAATATGTAGATCACTTTCAAATAAGATAAAGTACTAAAACATGAATTACTGAATATATTTTCATCTACTCTTGGCTTCTTATTACAAAGAAACTAAACATTTCTGGGTCTGTGAGTAAACATGTCTTGTGCCACATTGAAAATTGTACTATGAAGAAGCATATGCTTCAAGAAATTAGGAAATGCTAAGAAATTTGCCAATTTACATAATGGTGTGTAGCAGTTCAAAATTGCTAACTTCTTGGTTTTCAATAAAAATTAAGATTTCAAAGGTTGGGAATTCTAATTATTATATGTAATTAAAACTTTAAAATTAGTAAAGGCAACATCTCTGTATGCATGGAAAGTAAGATGTGTTTTTGGTTAAAAAAATGTACCAGGTACAGAGATAATTTTTGTTACGGGAAAGAGAGTAATTTTTCCTGAAGTACAACCAGATGTTTCAAAATTGCAACGAGGAAGATAAAGGACAAAATAATGGATTATAGACAGTTTGGAAGTGAGAGAGGGAACCTTGTGTTATTAAGGTAGCTAAAGTGGGATTAATTTATTATAAGGGTTTAAAGATAAGCTTTAGTATCAGTAGTGTACTTAATGTAAAACTGAAACTTTATTTTCTTCCATCTGCTCACAGGATTGTCTTGGACTATTGGTCTGCTCCTGATAAAAGATTGTGAAGGGTTTTCCACTTTTAGGTAATTTGCCTAAGAAAGCAAAGATTTTGTTTTACTAAAATAACTAGAAGCCCGGTACACAAAATTCGTGCATTGGGGTGGGGGTGTCCCTCAGCCCGGCCTGCACCCTCTCCAATCCGGGGCCCTCGGGGGATGTCCGACTGCTGGTCGGTCAGATATCCAGGACCACTGGCTCCTAACCACTCACCTGACTGCCTGCCTAATGCCCCCAACTGCCCTTCCCTGCTGGCCTGGTCGTCCCCAACTGCCCTCCCCTGCCAGCCTGGTCACCCCTAACTGTTCTTCCCTGCCGGCCTGATTGCCCCTAACTGCCTCTGCCTCGGCACCCACCACCATGGCTTTGTCCAGAAGGAAGTCAGACGTCTGGAAGATGGCCTGTCGACCCGGTCTAATTAGCACATTACCCTTTTATTAGTATAGATTGTGTGCTTCATGTTAACTTTATCACCCGGTTTTTGATTACTTAAGAAAACCAAGACTTCTCAATAATAAGAGCTAAGTTTTGCTCACAATTGTATAACTTTCTGAATTTGCCTTTAAAATATTTTATTGTCACTTTGGTTAAATAGGTAATTAAGTATCCTATATAACAGAAGCCTAAAATGCAAATTGTCCTCTCCACCAAGAGTTTGATAGCTTGCTATGATGTGCACTAACCACTAGGAGGCGGCACGGAACATGGCAGGCGTAGGGATGCAGCGCTGGAGGCACTGCCAGCCCCGATGGGCCCTGACGAGAGCGGGACTGAGGTGGGATGGTGGATCAGGTGAGTGGGCGGTGCCAGGCCAAGGTGGGAATGAGTGGGGGCCTGATTGCCCCACGGACGGCAACCACCAGCAGTGGCAGCAGGGGGCCGGGCCACCACTCAACTCCCAGGTACTGAGGGAGCCGGGTGGGGGGGCCCAGCCTCGATCAATTGCCCTGCAGGTGGCAACCAGTGACGGTGGCCAGCAGGCCCTGATCGCCTGATCGGGGCCGGGCCCCGGACTGGGATGGGGAACTGGGGTGGGTGGCAGTGACCAACTTCCCATGGTGCCCGAGCGAGGGATTGTGACATCTCACCAGCTACCTGGGGGCGGGGTTTACAGGGACACAGAGGTGTGGTGAGAATGCGGGGTGTCTGCCCAACTCACTCTTACTTCCCCTACTACCCTCCCCCTGAACACCAGGGCTCGTGCGCTGGGGTAATCCCCACGCTCAGGTACTGGGCACCTACAAAGAGCCTGCCCTGCACCCGTGTGGCCTCTTCCAGGTGAGCTGGGACCAGTTGGGCTCCCTGTGGGCTTGTGCAGAAGCCAGTCTGCGAGGCAAACCAGGAGAGAGCATACTGCCCACCCGGCTTCCGTGCAGCACTGCTGGGTGGCCCAGAGGCCCACACTACTCCCTGGCTCGCTGAGTCTGGCCGCGCTCACCACATCTCCATGTGGGGACTCGGGCACTGTGACTCAGGCAGAGGGGGGCATGCTGGGGCCTGGGAGCCCAGTGCTGCCCAGGGCCCAGAGGTCAGCTGGGACCTGCCCTTCCATGCCAGATGCTTGCACTTCAATCACCAGCCAGGCCTAGGGACCGCACCAGTGCACGAATTTCATGCACTGGGCCTCTAGTTGTTTCATAATGGTCGATGATCCTACTGTCAAGTATCCAAAACTTCTGATATTTGGGGAAAAACTGAAAAATCAAATACTATATTAAATTTTTTTTACTTTGAACTTGGAACATATCAAAGGATCCCTAGAACATCTCAGATTACTCTCTCCTTGAAAAAATAAAGATACTAATTAGGCTTTTGTTGTATAACATGATCAGAATTGGTACATAAGTAATGCAAAAATATTTTAAGTTATATTTGTATGGAAACATGTTATTAATGTGTTCCAGAAATTGTATGAAGTTCCTGGAAATCTGATATGCCCTAGTATAATGTTATCACTTGTAACTCTAGGTATTTTCGTAAAATGTATTTCACAGAAACAACCAAATGTCCTCAGCTCTTTAACTATGACCATTTGTAAATCTTTTGCCATCTATAGAAAGTATTGTTTTGCTTTTGCAAAAGTGTTTCTTCTTCAGGGAGATTCATGAAAAGGACTCTGAAAAGTACAGGTTTCTGATAACTTTCAGATCATACCACTGAACTGGGTAAGAATTAACCAAGAAAATTCTAAGGAAAAAGTGGATTCAAAAAACTTCTCATAAAATATCAAGATCAACACAAATTTATTATCTAGGACTGAATGAAAGAATAAGGATGAACTATAATTTTTATAAATTTTTTAATGTTTTGTTTTTTTCAGGTTTAAAGAAACTTTCCTTTTCTGCTAAACTATCTATGACTTACAGCAATTTGGTAAGTACACCTTTGTGAACAAGATGAAACAATTACTCATTTCCCTGATTCCCCCAGAATTTGGAAATTCTGAGTATGTATTCTTGTTTTCATGAACACATAGGTTTTTGCACAAGTTCAACAAGAATCTGTTCTCCTTGTAAAAGGACACAATTGGAAACATTGTTTTTAGTACCAAGACTTTGACTAGAACGTCACATTTGAAAATGTGCAAAGAATCATGCATGACCAGGCAGTGTTGAGGAGTTTCAATAAAGCCCGTTGGAAAAGCTTCCTGGCACCTTGCTTATAGGGCTGCTGTCAGCCTTATCGGGTAAGAAAGGATGGTCACTTCCTGGCAGGTGCAGGAGCATCAGGATATATTGGGGACCTTGATAAGAGAGGAAATAACCCAGACATAGTATAGGTTATTGCAGGTGAAGTTTGAGGCCAAGATCCTGGCTTCCTAGCCTTGAGAGGATTTTAAAAAGTCCTATCTGAGATTCCTTATGAAAAGTTCCAGCAAAGCAGATTTTTAAATGCCTGTATCTGGTCAATCACTATTCTTGTTGCACTTATGTAAACCATCAGACCAAGTTTATTAAGACTAGATTTATTTTTCAAACAAATTAGTGTACTGTAATTATCCTTGGTAAACATGGGGATAATGATTATGGAGAGAAAAGTGATGCTTCAGTAGAAACTATAACGCATCTTGGGATGTCTGATTCTAGTCCTGCTAACTGACTGAGGTTTCTTTTTCTACCTGTAAACTGGGCTGGATCCTGAGTTCTAGTTTCCTCAGGTAATCTGGCAACAACTCTACAAATTAGCATTTCCAATTTTTCCCCCCACTCTATTGACTTAGAATCACTAAGAACAAATTTTATGAAATTCCTAGAAATCATGCCAATGACTCCTGTTTGGACACTCCCTGTGCCTGTTGTGTGGGCCACTCAGAAAGTTGACAGAACACCCGGTGGCATCAGAGACATTCAAACTGCAAAAGATGCTTCATCTAAAGACTTTATGACTGGCTCAGAATGAGTTTATAATTGCTCCAACTATTACCCTTTGTTTCCACAGAAACACGTTTTATTAAATATCTTGAGTGCTCCCAACCTATAGGCCTCACTTCGGGATCCCCCCTGCAACACTGCCTCCTGAAATGAGACACAGCCATTTAACTGAACTGACCTCTTCTCAAGATTAAGAGACCCATCCAAGGACACAACCCAGCTATTCATCAGCTCAGCCTCTGGACTGTTGGTTTCCTGTGAAGGGTCAGAGGTAAGACTGCAGGGGAGCAGAGTGCACCACCCAGAATATGCCGCTTTGGCATAAGGGTTTGTTTTGAGCTGATTATTTTTAAGAAATAGGAGACATAGGAAAACTCTGAAATGTAGAAGTAGGGACCCTTTCATAGAGGAAATTGACATTTGTAAGAGAAATCTCTATGTGTAAGGGTGTCTCCCTCTCCATACCTGGAAGAGGACGACTCTACAGTAGATGAAACTCATAGAAGGCACCAACTTAAATCTGCAAATCAACCCTACCCCGTTTACTGTGCTTTTTCATGGTAACAGGCCTTTCCCACCCACCAACGATGGTTTGGGCCACTTTCGGGGAGTGACTCAGTTCCCTGAGTGTCTCCCATGGTTACAGGAGGCAGACATGTATTAATCTTTTCTCCTGCTAATCTCTCTCCTATTATAGGAACAGGTCCCAGCCCAAAACCAAGAAGGTAGGGGCAAAATTACGTTTCCTCAACCAAAAGGACATGTAGGAAGTTTCTGAGTAGTTAACTGTTAGGTGACAGCATTTTTCTTTTTAGGAGCAGAACCATGAGCTCAAAGAAACACAACGTACAATGCTAATGGCAGAATGGTGTATTCTTAGCCTCCCCAGAAAGGCACGGCCCACGTGGTGCAGACAGCACATCTGTGATGGCCATCAGACCTCTGGCAGGGTTACATTACATTGGTTAAACAGTTGGGGCTTTTAGCCATTTCATAAGTTTATAAGGCCTGGTCATATACACTTTTCATCAGGATAACATAGGTGCTATGTGGAGCCCATTTACCTTATGTCAGCTTTGGCTTCATGGTGATCCAAACGTGGAAAACCAAATTAGATACCAACATAGTCATTAATTTGACTTAAAAAGTTAGCACAAAAAAATAACCGTTTTAAAAAATCTTTGGTGGCATGTTAAAAGCATCACACTTTTCAGCATAAAGAGAGAAAAACAATTTAAAATGGTCTCAAAATTACAAGCTATAATAAAAAAGCTTAAAACTTATTTTTTTAAACAAAGTTATGCAAATTAATTCTAGTGGTCTCAAGGCATGATCTCTAAATTAACAAACACACTTAAATTTATTTCTTTAAAAAAGTAAATTATGATGGCTTTTTAAAAAATTCTATAAAACCTCAAATTCAATCACTACACAAAAATCTTAACAAGCCAAAAGTCGAAATATAAAAACAATTTTGGAATCAAGACTTTGAAAAAATTTTGCTTAATTCAAATGTCTTACAAGCTCCGTGGCCCATCTCTGTCCCTGTGGCCTGCAGGGCGGACTTGGTGTGGTACTGCCCAGGGGGCTGGGATGGCGCATGTCAGAAGCTCTCAGAAGGAAAGCGAGGGGCTGGTGAATCCCGTCTCTGGTTGGCGAGGTGTGGGCAGCAGCGTTTAGACAAGGTTGAACTCCCTCAGGTTCAGCTGGAGGATGGTGTCCTTGACGGCAGCGAAGACAAAGCGGATGTTCTCCGTGTCCGTGGCGCACGTGAAGTGGGAGTAGATGACCTTCTCCTTGTCAGGGTTCTGGTCCTGATAGAGCTTCAGGATAAAGTCTCTGGCAGCCTTGACGTCTTGCTTCGGTCCTGGTTCCGAGCACAGTTAGAGGGATAAAGAAGAAAGATGCCACTCACCACCAGGTACCCCCCCAAATTAATTCCAGTGTCCTCTTGTTCTTATTTGGGATCTTTCCTTAAGCTACCTTAGTTCTAGGAAATAGTTTCCCTGGTACCTAAAACTTGTATTTGAGGCAATGTGTTGAAGCACAGTGTCCCAAGTTAGCTTTCTGACTTGGACCCCTTTTGAAGAGAGATCACTCTTACTAACTCAGCAGTAAGCTAGGAGAGGGAAGAGGGGGAATATGGGAACTAACATTGTTAGGCATCCATGTCTGATTTTAAAGCTCGTGGGTGCTATACTCCATGGCCAACACAGTACAAGGAAAAAGGAGAGTTCTAAAACACGACTCCTCTAAATATCAGTGTCAGACTTAGTACTATTTGAGACCTACGGTACCAAAGATCATTAGCAGTGGCTCACGAACTCCCCTGCCTTCTATTGATCATGTAGACGAGGAGCCTAGTGTCCACCCTGTGTCTGCAAAGGAGCTGCCACACTTTAACCTACTCATAAGAAGTGCCAGGTGCTCTGACCACTGGGAGTGCAGTCAATGGTAAGTCAGGCATAGTCTCTGCCATCAGGAGCCACCTGGGGAGAGAGGGAGGTGCACCTGCTGGGGATGGGGTGAGGGTTGGAGGACTTGCCTGAGCTGGGGAACAAACTGGAGTTAGCAAAGGGCTAGCATGTGTGGAGGTGGGAACGGTGAGGAAGTCCATTAGAAGCAGACCATCTAGTCCCTGGGAGCCATTAGAACTCTGGACTAATGTCAGCAAGGTGGAGACCTACCTGTGTATTCTGGGAAATAGCTAATTAGATGAGAGTACATGATTTTCTCTTCCAGAAGATCCTTCTTGTTTAAGAACAAAATCACGGATGAGTTCAGAAACCAGGGATAGGTGATAATGGTTTTAAATAAGGCTTTGCTCTCTTCCATGCGGTTCTAAGGGAGAGAAAGAGGCACTTAGGGTTAACTAGAAAGAAAAGCAGTACTTGGAACACATGTCACGTCACTGGTTCTATCCCTCTTCCCCCTTACCCAGCTGGAGTCTGGTGAACACCCCCATCCCCACCCTCTCTAATCACCCCTCAACTCTAGCACAAATTAACATGTAAGGTATCAGAAAGGCTTTTGTGCAACGTGGAAAAGGAAGGTTCTTGCTCGGATTTGACAGAAGTTTTATGTGTCATTATTAGGATTGTTCACAGCGTCAGCCCTGGGACACCCGTTCTATTGGGTGTGGCCTCCAGACTTTGTGTCAGAAGTCGGGGGACAAAGAGAGGAAGACTGGCTCTTCAGCAGGGCCACCACCTTTAGAAACGCCAGAGAGAAGGGGCCCAGCACACCTGTACAGACCTCCAATGCAGGTGATACCGGTGTGCTGGCAAGGGGAGAGGAGTCTCTAATGTATGGGTGAGGATACTTATTTACAACATTTAAATACTTTCCCAAGCCTGGATAGTAGTCGGACCTGGTGAAAATTATGCAGGACAGTAAAATAGTAACTTCCTGATTTATGGAGAGCAGACAGGGCATGTACAAATCTTATCTAGATTTGTGCTCAATAGAAATACTTGGGAGGGATGTGCCATAAGTTTGTTTTCCCACGACTCTCAGAAACATGGGTTCATAGTCCTGTTCAATATATTTTGAGGGATTAAGATATGGAATTTATTGCCCGACAGGAAATCCCTCTTGCTTTTAAAGCTTAATAACCCCTAAGAAACTACAACATATGAAAACAATGATGCCTATACAGCACAATGAGAGGATGCAACTCATGTCTACAACCAGAGGGAAGAGTCTAGAGTGGCAACCACTTTGTTTTTCTCCAAATACCTGTGTTTTTTTAAGAGAGGAGAAAATGTTCCGTTTTTTTAGCACATCAGGCTGAAGTTCTTGTCCACCTGACTAATCTTTTGTGTTTCCTGAGACAAATTTGGAGCTAATTTTTCCTATTGATAACTCGCAGATTTTCCTTTTAAAAAAATTTTTCCACTGAAGAGCTAAGTGGCAGCCAAAGCTTCTGGTCTTGTTTGCACAATGGCACTAGTAAATGGGTTGATCGTCCACTAATTAGCTAATGTAACTGTACTCCTTAGAGAAAATTCTGCTTTCAAGAAACACAAGATATTATTTGTTCATGGTTATTACCTAATCCTGGATAGAGCTCTTGACTGATTTACTTTCATGCCCTAGAAGCAAGAGGCATTTTTCGACCAGGTCAAGAGGTAGCGGGGAAGATGACGGGAGGATGAGGGTACCCTGCAGAAACTGCCCCATCCTCACAGAGAAGTGCCTGTGGTGGTCAGTGTCACTGGCCAGGCAGCATAGTGGACCCTGTGGAGGGCTCTGAACATCTGGCGGGGTGGGTTAGTCCCAGCTGCCCGAGCTCGTGCCTTCCAGGAGGCCCCCAAACAGCCAGCCCAGCTGGAGACTAGGGAAGGCCCTGCAGGTGGGAATGCCTGTTCTCAGGTAAAGTTTGCTAGAAGTAGCATTGGTCAATTCTGACTGCACATGAGCATGCCTAGGGGACTTGGAAAAGATACCTCAACTCCAACCCAGAAATAGGAACCTCTGCTGTGGGGTCCAAAGGATGGTACTTTTTCAAAACGCCCCGAGGGCTTTCAGTGTGCAGCCTGGGCTGAGAGGCTCCACCGCTGGAGCACATTCGATTAGATGCCACGCTCAGGCCACACACTCCATCCACCAGGCTTCTCTGTCAGGTACCCATGGAGTTCCAGTGGCACCCAAGTGTAAGAACCAGGTTTCCAGGTCAGTGATCCTCAAACTTAACGTGTTTACAGGCATCACCTGGAACCTTGCTAAAATGCAAATTCTCATGTATTCAGTCTACATTTCTAACAAGCATCCAGGTGATGCCCGTGCTTCTAGTCCACACACTATACTTTGAGTAGCAAGACAATTTAACATCAGGCATAGAGTCTAATGGCAGAGCCAGCTGGCTTTTTGCAAACTACAAAAATAGGTCTCTGTCTTCCACAGCTCCCCACACTCCCCACCTGGCATACCTCATTGTCACACTCAGCCAGGACCTGGTCGTATTCACTCAGCGCAACCAAGAATATGATGGAGGTGACGCTCTCAAAACAGTGGATCCACTTCCGCCTTTCGGATCGCTGGCCACCCACATCCACCATCCTGTCCAACAGAAACACAGGTCTCAAAGGCGGGTTCGTGGCTCTGGAGGAGGGTGTGCTCATTCCACCATGGAAATCAGTACGTCTTGGCTTCCTCTGTGATCTTCAGGAGTGAAAAGGGGTCCTGAGACTGAAAGGTTTGAGCACCACTGCTTTCGACAATGAGGAACCACCAGGCGTTTCCCAGCAGAGGAGGATGGAGTGTAAGTGATGTTACTGAAAGCAGGTGCAGAGGTCACTCAGGTTCAGAAGCTGCAATTGTCCAGGCTGAAAGCACAGGCCTCCCCTGGGCATTGCTCTACCCACTGGAGGGCCAGGCACCAGCCACCAAAGGGGCAGAACGGCAGCCAGTCTTCCAGGTCCACTCAGCTTCCTCTAGGCCTTTGCTCCTTCCTGTTTCCATGCCTCTGATTTATCCACAAATCCTTTCTCCATTAGGTGGATGCTGCCCCTTCTTCCCTGTAAAGATGTGTAAGTGCCCTCTGTCGCACATGGGAAAGATTGCAGGGCCTTGTCGCCATAGGATCGATCCCACGCTTGAATGCTACATCCAGGGGTCAGGCAGGCCTCTGCTACGTAGATGTATTCTCTTTGGCCAACATAGTGTTTTGAAGAGCTTTTGAGTTAACATTTAAAATACCAGCTGTTTCACTTAGAACATTTGTTATCTAATTGGAGGATCTGGTCACAGTGAGCCTGCATTTTGTCCCCCAGCGGCTGGCGTCCCTTTAGACAGGGCCCCTCGCCCTCCGGAAGTGCATGCTCTTCTATAGACGTGCAAAGGCCTGCCTGACCCCTGACATCTTTCCCAAATGGGACAGAGGGCACTTACACATCTTTACAGGGAAGAAGGGGCAGCATCCAGGGTGAACAGGAAGGTGGGTTCCTCTCTATCTAGCACTTGACACCAACCACAATTCTAAAAACCCTGTGATGGAGAGGGCCCATTGCCCTGAAAGATAAGAACCTTTGGGGGACTTCCAAACCTGCACAGACAAATTCTTAATGGACTGTACCAGGGGGGCATTCTTACCGAAAGATGATGTTTTCCAAGTCAAACGGATACTCGATGATGCCAGTTGTGGGCACGCGAACACGAAGCACATCTTGCTGCGTCGGCACATATGACGGCAAGGCGATCCGGTCAATATCAGTCAGGTAACTGCAATATCAGAGAACAAGTTGCTGAGACTCATTTTACAGAATGGAGAAGTGTTCATCCCACTCCAGAAAGTCACCCCAGCTCAGAGCCACCCCTACTCAGATTCCTGGGGTCCATCAATGACTCTGAGAGCCAGCCCTCCTGCAATTGTTTCAGAAGGAATGTGGAAAGGATCCCACATGAGCCTTTGGGAAACCTGTAGATCACTCCATCACTTCCGACTGGTTCTAGCCTATCACTGGCTGGAGGAAGAGGAAGTAGAGTCTAACCCCCTGCCTTCCAAAGGCCCTTCCCCTCCCACACTCATCCTCAGCCAAGAACATTGGCTGAGGATGCTGCTCTCCGGCACTTTGCTGAGTGAACTGGAGTTTTTAAGAAAACAGGCCAACAGGAAGTTCAAAATAACAACGAGAAAGGTTTTCCTGTTACATGGGGAAATTAAACATCTAAAATAAACCAAAACTTGTCTTGGATTATTATTGCCATATATGAAATCCCTGAGCTTACAGTATATCATTTTTCTGAGGTAAAATCAGAGGGCACTTAAAAATGCCTTTTTTAAGGCTTAAAAAATTTTTTTTGAGTAAAACAACTAACTCAGGCCCTGGTCAATGACAGAGTTGATTCTGAGCCCAGCAGCCTACTGCAAACTACCCTGTGTCCCAATAAGTGACCCCAAGGCTAATGGTCACCGACTTCCATATGTGTAGTTTTTTTACTTATACCTGTCTAGTTCCACCAGAAACAAGACAAGTGTAAGTAACATTCCTTGACATCAGAGAGCACTGGTTGTACCTGCCACCCTCACCAAAGTGCCTGGTCCGTGGCAGGCACACCTCACATTTTGTGCAGTGAATACCTGTCCAAATAATCAGACGTGACCAGCAGAGCAGATGACAACCACTGACCTGGCCTAAGAAAATGCATAGATGTCTCTAGTCTCCCCAGTTCCAAAGGCGGGGCAACTGTCTGCTGCAACTCTGTCCACCAATCTAGTCACTTTCAATGTTCTTCTCATACTTGCTGCCCCAGATTTCAGGGCTCCGTTGAATTTTATGGTGCCTCCAATGGGTCTTTTCCAAATGGATCCACATCAAGAGCCTCAGCAAGTGATGCTAGGCTGTGTCCAGGAAGATGCCGGGACGCCATGGCCGACCAGGCTGTCCCTAGCTCCCAACTGTCACCCGCAGGCTGCCCTCCTCTTTGGGAAGCTGCCTCCCTTCCTTCCGCCTCTTTTCTGAAGTTCCAACACCTTAGCGGGACTCCTTGCATTTCCTTTCCTGCTTTTCACATAAATGTTCCTGAGCTCAGATCAATTGTGCGAACCTGGATTAATGGATTAAACACTCAGCCTGGGACCAACCCCAAAGGTAAGATTTCAGCTTCCTCTCCTCCTCACTGCCTGGTCCAGGTGATGGGAGTGGATCCCCCCTGCCCCCCTCCCCCCACACACACACCAGCTCCGAGGGCAATGACAGCACCTGAAGGGAAGGGGACGTCTCGGGAAAGGACTTTGGAGCCCTCAGAAGATGGAAGGTGATATGGTCTGAGGGGTAAAGAGCTGAGCTGCAGGAACTGTCTCTTGAAGAAGGACTGAGATTCAGATTGTCCAGTGATTTGTCTGGCTGAGGCGCTGCCTCAGGAAATTCTGGTCATCTCCCTGGGACCCTTTACATGCAGGCCTATGTAATTTTTTTACTCTAAAGATAACATTTAAAACTTGAGCTTTATGGATTAAAAAATAGTGTGTAGGCCTTTGCAAGTTGTAATAAACCAAGAGCTCCCAGATTGAACTTCCTCCCTGGGTCTTGCCCACTAGAGGGCAGCCCATGATCAGCCACTGCCAGCCTATAGCATTGAGATCTAAACTCTGATTTTTAGATTTTAGGGTATTGGACCTTGGGTCTACTGATCAGGAAATCCGAAGGCAAAGAGGTGTGGAGAGGAGGAAAGTAGAAGCCAGAAGCAGATGCAGTCCTCTGCTAAGATCATTTCAGCACCACAAATGAGATCAGTTCCACCAAGGGAACACCACATTTGCTTTCGCCTCATTGAAAAGGACAGAGGCTCGGGACATGGCTGGGACAGGTGGGTATGGGCAAGGAGAGAAATCTGGGGTCCACGGGAGACTGACGGTTTTAGGTGGGAAGCTTCTGTGAGGTACATGCAGCATGCTTGCCTGAGCGTGGGGCCGCCGGCTGAGGCTCTGTACTCACTATTTGGCAGAGTCTGAGAGCTGGTACTCCCTCCTCCTGTCGTAACACTCCTGGATTCCTGGGTCCAGCCAGAGCTGCTTGATGGCCTGCACCTGGTCCTCGGAGAGCGCAGAGACCCTGTCTACTTCCACTTCTCTGATTAGCTGGGCATTTTCCTACTCGCAGGAAAGAGAACTTTTATTAAGCAAAGGAAAGGAAGCCAACCCACTGGGCACAAGGCTTGCCCTGCTTTGTGGATCAGGGACATCTCCCTAGGTGCTAGGGTGGGGTAGGTGCCCTCTGCGGGGCCCTCTCATCGCCATGCCGCTCAGCCGCACGGTGAGGGGAGCTGATGTGCCTGCCTCACTCAGTGAAGGGAGCCACACTCCCAACACCTTTGGCTTTCAGTCCCAGCAGTACCTGAGGCCAGTTATACCAGTTCCGTATAGAGAAACACTGACCAACTGAGCATCAAGGGACTAACAACTTGACTGTCTCTTTAACATGCTACTATTTGAATATCTGCACAGCCGACTTTAAAATAACCATTGTCATTGTTGGTGGTGTACCAAGGGTGGGGTGGAAGAAATGGGTGGAAGCAATAAAGGAGTGTATTCTTTTGAGAACTGAAAAATAATAACGCCAACTTATCATCAATCTACTCTCTTTTTCCTCCTCTTTAAACATTTTTTTAATTGACCTTATTTTTCAGAGCAGTTTTTAGGTTTATAGCAAAACTAGGTGGAAAGTAAAGAGAGTTCTGATGGAGTCTGCCTTTTTTTTTAAATTCTCATCCAAAGATGTTTTTATTGATTTTAGGGGGGCGGGGATAGAGAGAAACATCGATTGGTTGCCTCCTATTCATGCCCCAACCAGGGATCAAACCCAAGACCTAGGTATGTGCCCTGACTGGGAATCAAACCTGCAACCTTTTGGTGTATGGGGTGATGCTCCAACCGACTGAACCACTTCACCAGGGCAAGTCTGCTTTTTATTATCATGTGTCACTGGGAGAAGCACTCAGACAAAAACCCCCACCCCAGGCCACTGATTACTATACCGTTATTATGCATATAATTACCATCATTATTAAAGAGTCATTGCTCTAATGCTATTGCCCTGTTATTTCAGTAATTCATTATTACTGCAATTATTACTATTACAGAAGTTACCATGTATTGCCCACTTACCATGTGCCAAGGGTTCTACATACATTATCTCATTTAACCAATGGAAGGCTAGCACAAGACCAGAAATCTTTCCAGATTTCAGCAAATGAAAATGATAAGAAGGTTGTCCTGCCCTCACATGTCCACGTGCTGGTCCCGGAGACTCAGCATCCCACCCTCGGCTGCAGGTTGCAGCAGACCAGAGAATTCTGCCGAGAGAGACGGGAGCTGGCCCCTTCACTCTCCCATCCTGCAGAGTCTCCCAGCAATTACATCACGCAGAGCTGGCTCTTCACTGGCAGCTCTGAGTCAGCAGAGCATCTGTTTGGCAGCTGTGATCTCCTGGAGTATATATGGTACCCCCGGAAAGGTTGCTCTTATCTTGCATTGCTCATTCTCATTACTAGTCCAACAGGAAGCCAGAGAACAGGGAGCTCTAGAGTCACCTGCTCAGGCACGACCGAGGCTGTGATGAAATCAACATGACGGCACCACATCCATCACAGGAGCGGGAATAACTCTCGGCTCAACTGCGGGATCCTCGGGCAGGCAGGGTCTCCAACAAGGTCACAGCAGGATGGCGCAGTGGAACGTGCCAGGTGGAGAATCAGGACCCTGGGTTCTAAGTGTGCAGTTGGACCTTTAAGGACTCCAACAAGTCATATGCCTCAGTGTCCTCATCTGTAAAAGGAGCCAGTGATTTTCAGGGGAACCTGATTTATAAAGTATCACCCAAACGTAAGTAGAATTAACCTTAGTATTACAGTGGATGCCTAATAAATATTTCTTGTGTGCCAAACAGATCACATTGATAGCCCTGAAACCACTACTTCTAACTCCACCCACTGGCACATTTGGCATCATCTGCTGTGTTCTCAGCCAGAGAGAATGACAAATGGAGAACCTGGGCAGCGTTTATATGGAGCAGAGGGCTGTCTCCCACTTCCTCCCTCCGCTCTCCACCTCCCTCTCCCCAAAAGGATCAAGTGGTCTCTTCTCACCCTCTAAAGGTCCAGTATCTGTGCTTAGCTCTGCCCTCTAAAGTGTCTGTTTTCTTCTCTCTCTTCATGACCAGTCAGGAAATGCCACAAGGGCAGAGTCAAAGTGCGATTGATCCTTATCTCCCAGAACCTAGGACAGTGTCTGACAAAGGACAGGTGCCCTCTATTGATGTAGGCATCCAATAAGCATTTGTGGCATTCATAAAAATATATCCAACAGACAAAATCACAAGGTAACAATAGCAGAAGGATGCTAGGGCAGGACGGAAGCCTCTGCCAGTCACAGTTGGGAGCTGGGGGACAGGGAGCCAGAGGGCAGGGAAGTCTCAGAGGAGGAAATGCTCTTGGCCAATGTCTCTCACTGTTAACTGCTAAGAGGCAGCACTGTGAGAATCATCAGGGATGTTACAAACACATCTACCTCTTCTCACACCATGCAAGATTGTGAAGTGTAAGTGTAAGCAACATTAGTCTCTTTTAGAAACAAACTTCAGTCACTCAGGAAGCCTGGCTAATGGAGGGGCAGAAAACCCCTAGCACACCAGACAGCATATGTAGCATGAGTGATAAATCACCTTTTATTGTGTTGAGTAAACTGAACTTCAGGGGCAGCTTATTACTGCAGCATAACCTACTCTATCCTGACTGACACATGTTGTAGTGGATAAACTCGGCATCTCGCTCTTCAGTAGAGAGAAAAAGTGCATCACAGTGACATATCAAAGAGGAACGCAGGCTTCCACAGAGGCTGCTGCAGGATGGAATCTGGGAAAAGACCTAGACCTGAGCTTTCAGGTAACCAGGGAGGTCAGCCAGGAGAAGAAAACATTCTGTCTGTTCTGCTAAGTGACAAGACTTTAGGGGAAATCTGGCCGGAAGGAAGAGGAGAACTCAGTGTCCTTAGAAACCCAACAATCGGACTTGGGTTTGGAACAGACTGAACTCAGAGGACCCAGAAGTATTCCAAGTTTGAGATCTCCTCCTGGTTAGCTATCCCACCTGTCAAGATAATTTTTTAAAAACTTCTGATTTTGAAATAATTTGACTTGCAAAAAATGTGGGGGAAATGGTACAAGAGTTGCTCTATGACCTATGCCTTTCAAGATTGCCCAAATACTGACTGGTTTGGCTCAGTGGATAGAGCGTCGGCCTGCGGACTGAAGGGCCCCAGGTTCCATTCCGGTCAAGGGCATGTACCTTGGTTGCAGGTGCATCCCCAGGGGTGGGTGTGCAGGAGGCAGCTGGTTGACGTTTCTCTCTCATCAATGTTTCTAACTCTCTATTCCTCTCCCTCCCACTCTGTAAAAAAATCAATAAAAATATATTTTAACAAAAAGATTGCCCAAATAACGGTTTACTACCTTGCTTTACCATTCACCCCCTTTCCCTCCAAGTGTGTGTGCACACACGTGCACACATACACTTTTTCCCCTGGAATATATGAGGGGAAGTTGCAGACATAATGCCTCTTTAAAGACTTCAGTGGTGTTTTTCTACAAAAAACAAGATTTGCTTGTATAACCACAGTATAATGATAAAAATCAGGAAAACATAGATTGTATAGATACAATACTGTAATCTAACCTTTAGACCTTACTCAAAATTTTTCCATTGTCCCATTAATGTTATTTCTCTGCCCAGCCTAGGGTCACAGTGCATTTAGTTGTCTCTTTAGTTTCCACTGACCGGGAAGGTTCGGCAGTCAAAGAGGTCATTTTTGCCACTCTGTCCAAGAGGCTTTCCAGAGCTAGATTTTATTCAGTATAGAAATATACACCGTATGATTATGGCAAAAAAATAAATAAGTAAATAGAATATAATAGAATAAGAATGGCCTGACCCAGAATGTTATTTAATCATAGTTCATAATGAGGATGATGGACAGAGAGAGACAGCCATAGCCCAGACTCTTAGAATATTCCAGGGGTAACTACCATGAAGGGAAGAGATGAACAAGGAAAAGAGTGGCCTGTTCTTTAAATAAATTGTATTGAAATAGGAGAAGAATGACTTCTGTACAACAGGCCCTCGAATAATGCCGTTTCATTAAACATATTATTGTAATGTTGGTGAGATGCCATAGGAAGGAACTCTGGTTTATATCAATTAGCTGGTGGAAGCCCTGGTTTTATGAAGTGTACTTTCACTTAAAGTTGCAGAGCCTAGCTACAATGTTGAGGACTTACCGTACACTGTTAACAATGTCTGTGGTTACAAAGCATGGGGTTGTGCGCATATTCCCTCTGGCTTGGCTAGAGAGTTCCCCAGACAGGAACATGGGCATTTTGATGGGCCTGTTCTAACTTGACAAGGCACCTCCCTTAAAAAGCAGGGCCCCTTAGAAATTTGGGAACGGCGTGTGCCATTTAAGACTGGGAAGACAGGGAGAAGAGTTGAAGAGGATCGGGTTTAGGGAAGTGTGACTGGGGCAGGGGACATGCTGAATCTGCGGCCACCAACATCTAAGTGGAGGATAGATGTCCAGGACATGGGTGGGTAAATGGTCTGTAGTTCATGGGGAAGTCCTAGGCTAGAGGAGCACATTGAATTGAAATCGGAAAACAGTGTGGAGTTTCCTCAAAAAACTAAACATGGAACTGCCATTTGACGCAGCCATCCCACTTCTAGGAATATACCCTAAGAAACCCAAACACCAACCAGAAAGAATGTATGCACTCCCATGTTCGTAGCAGCACAATGGACAATAGCTAAGATCTGGAAGCAGCCACTGCCAGTGCCCATCAGTAGACGAGTGGATAAAAAGGCTCTGGTACATTTACAACATGGAATACTCTGTGGCTGTGACAAAGAAGGATCTCTTACCCTTTGAGACAACATGGAGGGACCTGGAGAACATTATGCTAAACGAAGTAAGCCAGTCAGAGAAAGACAAGTATCATATGATCTCACTCATATGTAGAATCGAATGAAAAAAATAAACTGATTAAAAAAATCCAGAAACATGGAAGCATAGAACACATTATTGAAGCTCAGAGGGAAGGTGGGGGTGTGGATGGGTGGGAAGAGATCAACCAAAGAACTTGTATGTATGTATGTATGTATGTATGACACACAAAAGGGTGGTAAGGGCCCGGGGAGGGGTGGAAGTAGGGAGGAGGGAGTCCATGTGGAAGAAAAAGGGGACATCTGTAATACTTTCAACAAAGTTAAATTAAAACAAAAAAAAGAAATTGCCTAAAAAAAAGAAACTCATTCATTTCATTGAAAAACCACAAAGGAGTAAATATTACAGGAGCAGTTTCAGCAGCTACAACAGAAACATGACAGGTTTCTCAAACTCTGAGCTCATATCTGGCTTTTCCTCTTCTCCTGTCTCAAACAGAACCACCACTTCTGCTGCTCAGAAGGAAGAACACGGAAAACAGACGTCCTACCTGTGTGTGGCTTGGAATTCCCAGGGAGATGGTGAAAGGAGCTGGACACGAAGTGGTGCCTTGCTGGTTTCACATGTGGCCTGTGGCTGCCGGGGTGACAGCCTCAGTCCAGCCCAGAGAGCCCCTCTGGCTGGAACCCAGAGCCCAGCGGGCAGCCCAGTGCTCCACCAGATTCTCCCTGGGAAAGCACCCGCTACCTTCCCCCACACACACACACCATCAGCTGCCCAGGACTGCAGGGCGAGAGCTTTCTCCGACTACCTTTCTCACTGACTAGGGCAGTGATGGCGAACCTATGACATGCGAACTCATTTTTTTGGTTGATTTTTCTTTGTTAAAGGCATTTAAATATATAAAATATCAAAAATATAAATCTTTGTTTTACTATGGTTTCAAATATCAAAAAATTTCTATATGTGACACGGCACCAGAGTTAAGTTAGGGTTTTTCAAAATGCTGACACGCTGAGCTCAAAAGGTTCGCCATCACTGGACTGGGGTGTGAGGGTTAGTGTGGTTCATATACAAGTTTTTAAAAAGCCACTCATCTCTGGTCTCCTCATTTCTGGCTCCCCACCCCCTGTTCCTACCTTCCCAGGTCCCAGTTTCTCAGACCTTAATTGCAGTACCACTTCCTACACACACACCTTCCAGGAGTGGGAGCACCACAACTCCTCACCCCCTTCTCCCCAGTCAAAACCCATAGTCCGCCAGGTAGGTGGGAACAGCTCTGAGCTCTTCTTAGATTTTCGTTTCTTGCCTTTATCCATATCGGAGCCCGAACGTGGTGTTGTTATTAGAGAGGAGAAGCTAATAACCCCAGAATGTCAGCGCTGTAACAACACACACAGGGTGTGTCACACTCCTCGGTCCAATATGAGTCAAGGGTGGGGGTGGGGAGCACTCTGCTCCACACAGTTATCCAGACACCCCTCCCCCCATCAAGTGTCCTGCCACTTCCTGGGGCCCTGGATCCCCCGCTGGCAGGTGAGGGAGGAGCGGATGGAGCAGTGGGCTGCAATCGCAAGTGCCAAGGAAAGATGAGTGAATTATACCGAGTCGTGTGTGTAAGAGATTGTCCCCATAAAAGTACAAGGAACACACAGCACAGAACCTCAAAGGACCAGGGGTTGTTTCTGCTCCTGGGACCCAGGGTCAAGGCTCTTCTGGGTCAGCACTAAAAATCACTAACACAACTAATATGTCAGCCATCTCTCTCCGGCATCTTCTCTCACCTCAAAACAACTGGAAGACAGCATCTCAGACCGTCATCCCCCCGCCCAAAGGAGGTATCACCCCACCTCCTTTCCCTTTCTCACCCCAGTTCCTCTGTAACCCCAAAGGCTCTGGACCTCACGTCATTCCATCTCGGATGGAACAAACCAATCAATACACTGACCGCCAAGGCACTCAGCCACTCTTCCACGCAATTGCATGCGGCTCTCTGCGGGAACCAGGGAGTAAGGAGACCCGCTGGGACTGGCACAGCGAGTCTCTCCTCAGGCATTTCAGAGTTGTACATTTAACCAAGCTTCCTACTTCCGGTCAAAAATCCCTATCACGCCACCAGCTGAGCCCATCTAGGAGGCGGGTACTGGGCATGGTTTCTCACAAGTCCCGGGGCCTAAGAGGACAGGTTTTGTGCTTACTAGGTCACGCTGGGCCCCAGGGGGGTGGGCATAAATCATCCGCGGGGCCTGACTGAAGAGGGCGACAATCCAGAAACACACCAGTGCACACCTGACAGCAACACTGTTTGCCCAGGACCCTCGAAATGTCCTGGTCCTGCCTGTCAAGCGACAGTCTCGCAGGCGCAGGCGTCCCTAAGTCACCTGTCATGGGGCAAGCGAAGCATCTGAGTTTCCTTTTAAGAGGCAACGAAGGTTATCTGCACCCCAGACCCTGGCAGAGGATTTATCAGGGACCTCTCCGCTGCCTGCCTGATCAAACGTTGAAACAAAGGACTTTGGTGGGTGTTTTCCCTGAAGCACACAGCCCAGCCAGGCCTCTGCCGCATTTCCCAGAGTGCTAGACTATATAGCACACGACTCAACCAAATGTAAGCAGACTGGAAAAAACCATCTCTGTCCAAATAAATGTAGGACAAGGTCTGAAACAGTCCCCCATGTATTTTTCTTTTTTAACTGTAGGGCTTCGAAGGTAGGTGTGTGTGTGTGTGTGTGTGTGTGTGTGTGTGTGTGTGTGTAAGACATGCACCACGAGGGGCAGGGATCTCAGCCCCTTTTCTTTGTCGATGAACCCCAAGGACCTAGAATGGTAGCTGGCACACCAGTACGAATAAATGAAGAAATAAATGACACATGAAAATCTTTACATTTAGTCAATAGGGGTAAAATATAGTAAATCAAGATACATCAGTTCATGAAAAGGTGTAAGTGTGCAGACCAATTCTTAAACCATCTGATCACTTACAGTGAGAATACGCAGATGCGAGACAGCACATAAACTCTGGAGCTACCACAGGACTCCCTCAGTAACGCAGCATTTAGTGAGAATGCACTGGACTGAGCAAACACCGGCAGGAATAAGCCCGTTGCAACCAGGACAGATATAACAATATTAAGTAGAAACGCCCAAACAGAGCACAGAACCTTCCATATGCTCATTTAATTATGAGTTTCCAAAGAGGAGATGTAGCTTTCCCTGCGTGCCAAGCTCATGCACTTCAGGGGCAGCTGGGCCCCCTTTCTCAGAAGGTCTAAGGCTCAGACCCCAGTCGATTCCACGGCAGTGA